TAATAATATCATTTCTTAAATGACTCAATCATTGTCTGCCGAGGGTTAAACATCACTATAAAAATTTGGAACAATTCTTTGTTTAAAGTGGTGTATAATTTATTAACTAAAGAATTTTGATTATATTGAGATAAATATTTTAAAAGTATTAAACAATTAGAATATCAAAACAATTAGAACTTATGAATTTTCACACAAATAATTACTAGAATACATAATTGCACGAGTATTATGACGAACATTAGAATTTTAAAACAAATTTAAAATGTGCATACGGAAAGAAAATGGTTCAGATTAAATCTCAAGTACTTTTCATACACGTATTGTTGGTTAATTCGCGTTTTTCTATCGTAAATTTCGATTAAAATAAGACTTAAAGTGCCTATTTTTTCGTTAAGGTGAAAATAAAAATTAACATATTTATAGCGTTTCGTGTTCATAAATATTGATACGGTATTTTAGAATTATTACATGTTACAGAAGAATTATTTAATAAAACAGTTCTATGCATTTGGGTCAGTTTTCGCTACCAAATAAATATCGTTTTCGAGTTTATAGAATAAAAGGGTTTCGTGTTTCACATTGATTTTTAATCTCTTGCTCCTTCGGCAAACGTTATTTTAAGATGAGAATTTCTGAAAGAGATTTCGAGTTAAAACGTTTAACTTGTAAAAAGTTTTCGCTTGTTCAATTTATTTGCCATAAGTTTTAACAATTTTATTTTCTAAGAGAATAATTTAACAAATTTTTTTAACATAACTTTGCCAACGGATTAATATTTACCAGCGCTTTTAAACGAATTTAACAAAAATTCATCCTTTTTTAAAATTAAAGAGAAAATTTATCAATAATAAATTTCTAGAAATCGTGAAATTAATATTTCTGTAAAATAATTTTATCGCCATTATAATATCGCTGATACAAACATATTGATTTTTCAGTAAATTTTTTATCTTTACATATTACATCATATGTTACATATTCACTTCTTTAATTGTTATATTTTTAAAAAGATTTATTTTCGAGTAAAACAGTAACAATATAACGATTTCAGTATTTATAAATAATTATAAAATTACTTTTACTAATAATAAATTCTGTTGAGTATTTTCTTACAGTAAATTATTTACAATTTATGATTTAATATGCGACGCATTTTAACAGTTTTAATATTTTTTAAAAAATATACCGTCAGTGGTAAATTTTAGTCTATAAATGGTAAATTTGTAATTAAATAATAGCCCTAAAATTATGTAAGTTACAAAATAATTCAAAATCAAGCTTTAAAATATACTTTAAAAAATACTTTAAAAAAATATTTCTTGTATAGTACTAGTTTATGTAACAATATTTACGTCAGAATGCTATTTGTGTAACAATCTCTAAGCAATAGATAAACATAGTAAATCTCGTGTAAATAAGTTACAGAAAAAGAACTTGTTTTTGTAAAGGATGATAAAACATTATGAATGAGATAATAAAAATAAGTAGATAAAAGAGATTAAAAGCAACGACTAGAGTCGGCCAATTATTACTAACAAGATCATATTTGGCAAGCCACGCTTATACCGAACAATATAAATTTTTAGTTACGAGTAGCATGTACCAGACCGAGCAAAAAATATATTATTTATGATTTGGCCGCAGCGAAGTTGCGCTGGCAGACTCCTAAAACCATAATTCTCCAAATGTGAAACCGCTCTCAAAGGGCATCGAGGAAAAAGGAAATGATGAAGTTGCTACCGTGCAACACGAGTTCCCTATCGATTTTCCATTTTTCCTGCAGTAAAAATACGAAAAGAAAATTAAATTGCTGTTTTAAAATAAATTCCAAATAAATTTGATCGTTTACTAATACACACATACCTGAAACACGTGTGTACATAAACTTCCAACGATGGTATATTGTCACGAAAATTTCGCGTAAACTACGACCTATAAATTTCACTTGATATCGTTTTCATAACCTCTCAGAGTCACGCAGAGTAAGAAATTTGAAGTGATATTTTTCTCATTTCGTATTTCCAATATCTTCGAACGGATAAAAATCACCAATTCTTCCAAAACATAGTTGGAAAGTTATGCCTAAATCCTCTTCGAATAAAGGTCCTTTGCAAAGCTTAAATAACCTAAAACTCAAGACGGATTACGGTTACATTGGGAAATAAACTCGATACGATTAGAAGCCGGATGAATTAATACTGACTAAAGACCGGGAGTCGGTATCTTAGTGATTCCTTTGTTCGAGGGAACATCGGAAAAGGAACGATTTGGCAGCGAAAATTGGCCTGACTCGTGCAGATCGGTATGACAAAGAACTGTGGGAAAGCAGTGATGGTAAAAAGGGTATTTGTTATAACGACGGGGTGCTTACCGATACACAAAGGCTGACGGTGGTCGCCACACCGTGGCGTAACAGGCGGTGTACGAATACGCGATGGTCGGTATCGGGCGCGTCTCTATTAAACGGTTTTTGTCGGGACGGTCGACATTGTTTTAGTGGCCGTGCTACTTCACACGATGAAATTGAATAGGGGCCCGATAAGAGCAGCCCTCGAAGCCGAAGAAGAGAGCGTTTACTTTCTTGCATCCACCAGGTGACACTGGAGCGGCGTTCTTACACGAGCGTTATCGGTTTTCTTTCTTATCGTTTTGTCTCGATACAAAACGCCGACTTGCGTGCACGCAAACTCGATACTGGCTTTTGTCCTTGTTTATCTTGTCGTTTTTTTCTCCTGTTTTCTCTTATCGCCGATTACTGCACATCTACGTCGTACTACATGGGCCTAATTACATACGCGTGTGTGCGCGCACGTGTCTTGTGTATCGTCTATTATATAGGTATAACGTGTTAGTGTGTTTTAGATCTGGAGGTCGATAAAACAGATGGCGGTAGGAGCTGACAAAAGGAATGTTTTTGGTTAGTGAATGCGTACGTCTGTTCTCATAAGTATTGGGACACCTAATGGATTTAAGCACATTGGAACAGAGAAACGATGAATTTGACAAAAGTTGGTATTTCTATGATCAGAAATACGTAACAAAAATTCTTAAAACTGTTTGGTAAGGATTATGGGAAAATTATAAATTAAAAATTATTTCTTGATCATTAGACTCTTCTGATTTAAACTTTTTGGTTAATTATGTAATATAGTTAATTCATAGACAATATAAATTTAGTAAATAATATTATATAATAGTCCTATTATAATGTTGAATACTCAGGTTATAAAAATGGAATAATTCTTATAAATTTTAACGATTCTACCTCATTTTTCTCAGAGTGTTCCAATAATTATGAACAGAGCATGTAAATTTGCTTTATTTTTTAGTAATAGAATTATGAGAAATGAACGTTTTGGATATCAATCGGTAAAGAATATACCAAATATTGGCAATTTTTATAAAATTTACTGAAACTTTAAATATGATGCTTTATATCGTCTAATATGGAGACTATGGTATTTGGTATTTGTTACTAATTTTTTTATATTATTTTAAATTTAATATTACATTGCATAATATTTCTGTTAATAAGACAGCTAATTGTTATTTGCAGTATTTTGGAGATAAATAATTAATAACTTCTGTTCAATGGTAAATTAATGTTAATTATGAAATTTTGTTACAGCATCATATGCCAATACTTCTCATCTCATACTTTAAAATATGTACTGAAATCGCCGAAAGCATTACAAATTATTATTTAAGGAAATCCGGAACCGAGTTCTATCCTTATGGGAAAGTTCCGAAATTCATGACCCACTTCCTCCCAAACCACTAAAGCATTTTCAATCAAACTTTGACTAAATATTCTACTAATAATGGTAAATGCACCGAACACTCGAATTTTTATAAACCTTTTAGGAAAAGGTTACATATTGGATAAAAAATTATTTAAAAACTGATCGATAATATTCCTTTTTCCAAATATAGGCCTTAGTTTTCAAATTCCTATATTTAGAATTTATTTTATAGAATTTATTTTATATTTGGAAGTTTGTTAAGAATTAATATAAAGAACTTAATTAAATTTATTTTTTGTAATTCTCAGGAAATGAATCAAAATGAATAAAAAATAGGATTTTACAACAGTACAATTTTTTAATGATAAATTTATTAATCAATCTAATTAGAATTTATTCGAGTAAGAAATTCACAGAGCCAACAACACAAATTTATAAAGAGGTAAGGGAGAAAAGTCACAACTATAAAAGCAAATTGAAGAAATGTGTTTCTGGAATAAGAATAAAATGGCCCTGTTTACAGGACTGGATTTCATTTCTCAGTAAAGGATATTTGAAATAAATATGTATATAGTTTTTACTGAAAATTAAGAAAAATTAAATAAACTATTTAAAATGACAGAAATTTATTTGTTCCAGATAAATGATTATAAATTCAAGATTCACAATTAACAGATGGCTTTTTCAAAGTGTTTTTAGTTGTGGTTTTTTTAATTAGATTTATCCAATGATATTAACCATCACAAAAACTTCAATAGGGAAATTAAATATTATAGTTTTCATATCAAATACATGCACAGTTAGTTACTAAAAACATTACTGCAGCTTTCCAGCAAATATTTGGCAAACTGTTGACAGGCCAATATCATTTTTCTGATATTCTATTACTAAGAAACAAAGCAAAATCGAGCACAAGTTTATCGGATAAAAAATATTCCTTTCATCGTGTTCCACCTAATCTTTCCTTCGTCGACCCATGGCTCTGAAACAAGCTGAACACGTATATTATATACATATTGTATACATATATTATACATAACCTTTATATATATATAATATATCATGTGAAACACGCTGCATATACACGGTGTACACGCATAAGCGAAGCATGCAACGAGTGCATCCGTGCATAAGGCATATACATATACATATATATACATATATATACATGCAACCTCTTAATTATAAGAAACGAGGCGCGAGGATGTGGTCTTATTTTAAATCGATTTTAATCGTGGCTCATTGCTTTTCCAGCGACCTTGAGAAGTACTTCGAATATCAGGGTCAGGACTACATTTGCTCGCGTCCCGACGACAACGGAATGCACTCTTGCAGTAACTTGCCGCCGCTCAAGTTTGGTGAGTGCACCTTCGATATTCTTCCTACTGCTTCCAATTTTTCACCCTTTTTTTTTTCTATTTCCTCCGAACGTGTCCTCGGTCTCGTTCGACAGACCTTCGCACATACTCGTGGAACTTGAAGAAATAGCTTATTCGGAATTTTGTCCACCTTGTCTGAAACGCCGAAGATTGGCAGCTCCTGTTACGTGTGCTGTGTGCTCGAAAATAATTTTCGTACGACATTTATTTTTATGCAGACTGCATAAATTCAGATAAAATAAAAGAAAAAGAAAAAAGAGAGGAGTGTTATACAAATGTAAGTATATAAAAATTCACGACTTTTTGAGGTTATAACAGTATCTTTTATTTATTCAGTTTGTTACATTGTTTGTTGCATTGTTTGTAACATTGTTTGGTTAACGTAGACTGGATGAAAAGTATAAAAGGATTTTTGTTTCCATTTGTAGATCTTCAATACGTATTTTTCATATTTTAATACTAAACTTATCACGGTCAAATGACTGGTGAATTAAAAAGAAGTAGGAGCTTTAAAAAGTGGAATAATGGGAGACATTGAGAAAATGACTGTACGTATATTGGAAGAAAAATTGCGAAGACGAGTGATTAAGGAGATAAGGTTGAACGTGGAATTTTTAACGAAAGTTTGGAAATCGGTGATTTAGACCATGGTAGTTCAGTATTAATGCAAGACTGATAGATCAGTCATCACGGATCATGGATCATAATTTTTAAGTATTCTTATTCAGTAATTTTTGATAATGTCAATAACAATCTGATGTCACGATACAATTTAACATTAATGTATTTTCAAGTCAGTTATATTTACATTTAAATTCTGTTAGGTATGGAACTTGATATAGAATAGATTGATTACAGAGTTCATATTACTACAGTTTTGGGCTCCCATTTTGTAACATATATTATAGATCAAATTTGGTATAGATATGTGTAAGAGAATTATTTTAATTTCTTTTCCAAAATTTCGTGATTTTTAAATTATATTTTACGCCTGATAGTAAAGTCACTCGTTATTAAAGGTGATTTAAACTGTAGGAACTAATAAAAATGTAAAAAAATTGGTAGAGTGATTTAAGTTAAATGTACAATATTTAATTGAGTTGTTTATCAAATCAAATAACTGACACGCAAAAATGCTTTCCAGCTGTTTAATAGCCAAAAAAATAAGAGCTTACATACGCTTAAACCAAACATAAATATATATATAGACTCTGCCTGTGAGTGTTAGATGGTGAAAAACAATATTGATTTTGATATACAGGCGCTAGTAGAAATATGAAATATTCGGATACAAACTCTATTGAATTTTGGCGAGAATCCATCTAGATATGAACGGTTAAAATACTTCTCCCTCGGGTATCAACCTTACATATGTGATCTGTGACAGATAAAATTTGAAGGAGAATTTTCCTTATTTTTCTTTCGTGAGCATATTTTAAACCCTTTGCGCTCGAGAAGCGCCCTTCAGTCGCCATTTGATAAAATTTCTAAGATTGATATTCATTAATATGTCAAATTTAAGATAATGGTATAAGAGGTATCGAAATCAAATAATTCTACGTGTTAATTATTATACGATTTCTTATTTACTGTTCAAAAAAATATCAGCTTTATAACAGAAAATCTTTGAACTCCTACACTTATTTAGTAAAAAAATCGTCGAGTGCAAAGAGTTAAATATCCTTTAATTTAGAGGTTAGTTTTTATCATGATACTGTAATACATTTGAAAAGAAAGAGAAGAAAAAGATAGATAAAGAAAGATAGAGATTGTGTTAGGAACAGGGCGCCGTGTTTCGTTCAGGGTTTGTTAGTGGACTTATTGGTAAGGTTATTCTACTGATGAAGGAACATATTAAAGTGTTAATCACTGATTCTGATGAAACTTTGCAATTGTAGATTAACACGTATTTTTTTTTTATTTGCCATCATCCATATGTCGAAGAGGTGAAAATCAACCCTAAAGCATGGGTGTTTTAATAGAACGTATTTCCTGGTCGAATATTTTGTAAATTATTAGAGATAGAATAATTACGTATAAACTGATAAATTTTGTACCTTTTAAACGACGTGCATCTAATTGTGTAAAACGGATTTGCAGTATACGTATTTGTTATAAATAATAAATTAAATGTAATCATATTTCTTATTGAATAATTTCTCGAGTCAAATATTTATGAATTTTTGTATTACATATGTTTTATAAGTAGTAAAACTAGTATATAAGTAGTAAAACTAGTACTAAGTATTTCTCTAATATAGTTAGGTTAAATTGGAAAACGGTACTTATATGATAGGGATGGGTTAGTGAGCACTTTGGAGAAACGTGTTTCCCTAGCGTCCCTCTGGTGGCGAATATAGCAACGTCAACGCGTTATTATTCGTCGCGATATGGTACAGTAATGAAACGGTTCCGTCCAGGCAATCATTGTTATGTACAGTTAAATGTAATTGTTTATATACGACCTGTCGTTTAGCACATTACGTTTGAGGAATATGACGATCGTTATCACCAACTGTCTGAAATTATTGGAACATGTATATAGGTGAATAATTTATGGCATGCATTATGACTCGTAATCAAAATCTACAGTCTGTGTCTTAATAGAATATTCTATTCTTCTTATAAGGACATTGAAATCATACATGGGAATTATATAATACTACCAAAATCTTATTTTATCTTTTGTCAGTCCTTTTCAAATCCCTATAACCAACATTTTATTTGTCGGAGAGAAAAGGGAATTATGATTATTTATAGGTTTTTAAGCTAACCTCAAATTTAAAAATTAGTAATCGTTATAGGTAGACCTTTGGTATTGGTATTATAGTATACTAATGGAACGCAGATACTACAGTAATACTACATATATTTTACAGCATAGAGTTATATGACGTTATACAGGAATAAGTCGTGTTTGATGAATTTTCTTCGTTTATGAATGGTATAATGATATATTTTTTTCTATTATACTTTTACTTAATTGAAAAATATGTTAACTTCATTTTATAATTTGTTTTTATAATTTTGATTTTATTTGCTAGATTTTATTTCCATATACAGGTAACAAATATAATTTTTTTTTTTTAAATACATAATTAATCTTACCACAATTTAATATTTTTGAATAGTTTAAAAGAGTGGCAAAAATATATATTTTTAACATTTTTAGTAACATATGATGGCGCTGTATTGTAAGGTAAAAAATCAGTTTGCTAATAAATTCCTAATAAAATAATTTCCTAAGGATTTATTTTTCTAATAAAAGAGGGAAAATGAAACTTATTCTTGGTTTTCAAATATAGAAACAGTATGAAATGACAGTTGTCAAGTGTTACTATACAGTACGGGGTAATATCATTCTTATACCTGACGTTGTTGGACATGATCTAATAGTAGAAATGCGACGTGTCTTTGCGTGTGGGTGGAATCGTGTAAGTCAACCTTAACCCTTCACGGAACAATACGTCCAATGGAAAATTTTATAAAGACATTGAATTGGGGTAACATTTTTTTTTCTTTACAAATAAAATTATATATTTCATTTTATACGTTCCATTGATAATTATGTTGGATCCATTCTTGTCATAAATTTTATTTCATTATAGTTTGTATTATCGTATTATTATGTTCACTGTTAAAGGAAAAATATATGTGAGTATATTATAATACACACATACTCACCAATACTATGTACAGTATTTGTACTATATGAATATTATATTATAGGAGTACGAGTACTATGCTATACGATTATACGAATACTATATAGGTAATGTATGTATATTATATACATATCTACTGTACGTATACTATATTGTATATACTATATATAATATAGTTTAGTATGCTATGTCTAATATATGTACTAAGCATACTAAACCATATTATATGTAGCATATACAATATTCATATGGTATACGTACAGTATATATTTATATAATATATATACATTACTTATATAATATTGTCATATAATATACTACTCGTACTCGTATAGTATAAGTGCTGCACATAGTATTGATGTGTGTGTGTGTGTGTGTGTGTGTTATACGTACAAATACAGTACGTATTTAATATATGTACTACATGTATGTACAATGTGTACTTATATATACTATATGTAGCATATATTCTATATATGTAAATAATAATAGTTGTATGTACTAAACATATTAAACTATATTATATATAGTATGTACAATATTTATATGGTATAAGTCCAGTATATATGCATATAATATACATGTATTACCTACATAGTATTGTCGTATAATATAGTACTCATACTTGTATAGTATAGTACTCGTACAGTACAAGTGCTGCACATAGTATTGGTGTGTATATGTTATACATACATATACAGTACGTGTTTAGTATATGTACTATATGTATGTACAATGTGTTCTTACATATACTATATATTCTATATACGTATCTAATAATAGTTGTATGTGATACTAATTGAAACGTGTTTCTTAAAGCAAAAAATACAGGAATTTTGAGGAAAATTTCATAATAATTATACACAGGTATAAATTTTTACGATGTAGAAGTAAATCTTGTACGAAAACGATGTTTCCGAGCACACAGCATAGTAAACGCAGATTCGAGTACCAGTAAACGTATCAATAATTCAAATCATCGAATCAGCATTCCACAAAAATTTCACTTTGCTGGAAAAGCAAATTGTCTCCGAATTACGCTAATCTCGAAAGAAAATATGTTACGATTAATCGCGAGAGGAAATATCATTGATCACAGGAGAAAATGCGTAAGTGCACGTACCGAGGTAATTTCACGTATTCGAAATGTAATTATTCGGACGAAAGCAAAAGATGTGGAGAAATTTCGGTAGTTATTTTCACGAGGCTCCACGACATTCCAGAATCTATTCGAATGTTCTTGCTTTCAGGAAATGTGGTTTGCAATAGTACCGCGTTGCCGAACAACAATGCAACGTTTATCACCAACGACACCTGCGTTAATTGGAATTACTACTACACGGAGTGCAAGGGTCAGGGTAACAATCCTTTCCAAGGAACGATATCGTTCGATAATATCGGTCTTGCCTGGGTTGCAATATTTCTCGTGAGTGTCCTACTTCCCTCGGATTCAGAAATTGAAGCTTCAGAGCTAGCCAAATTTCTAGACACTTTGTTTGAAAATATTCTGCGGAGATTGCTGCATCTATTAACGCTAAAGAATGACTTTATTGTCCAAATTGCTATTCGAAGAAATACAAGGCTGAGAATTCTCTCGATGGCCAATCTTATCTGTTCCAGTTCTAGATTTAATATTTTTCAAATGTGATTACCGCTGTTACTATAGGTAATCAGCCTTGAGGGGTGGACAGACATAATGTATTACGTGCAGGATGCTCATTCGTTTTGGGACTGGATATACTTCGTCCTTTTAATCGTGGTATGTTTACTCTCTTATGAATGCTTGATATTTTTATTATTTATGTGGTAGTTTTATTGGTTGCTTTCAATATAACACATATTTATATGAAATTTATTTGTTATTTTTGTTATAGAATGAAGAATAAGTATCAAATAATTTTACCATTTTAATAGAGATGTTTGGTATTTTTGATATTTTGATAAAAATATTTGATATTTTTGTTATATTCGGTATTTTTATTATAAAATAAGGAATAAGTATCAAATTATTTTACCATTTTAATAGAGATGTTTGGTATTTTTGATATTTTGATAAAAATATTTGGTATTTCTATTATTTGGATAAGAATATTTGATAGTTTTGTTATATTCGGTATTTTTATTATAAAATAAAGAATAAGTATCAAATAATTTTACCATTTTAATAGAGATGTTTGGTATTTTTGATATTTTGATAAAAGTATTTGATATTTTTGTTATATTCGGTATTTTTATTATAAAATAAAGAATAAGTATCAAATTATTTTATCATTTAAATAGAGATGTTTGGTACTCTTTGCTATTTTGATAAAAATATTTGGTATTTCTATTATTTGGATAAAAATATTTGATATTTTTGTTACATTTGGTATTTTGCAAATGTTTTATATTGTTGCTATTTTGATAAAAGTATTTGTTATTTCTATTATTTGGATAAAAGTATTTGATATTTTTATTATTAAAATTATTTGCTATTTTTGTTATTATTATTTTAGTAAAAATTTGGGTGATTTTTACTATTTTCCTATTCTAACTAAAATATTTGATACTTTCATTATCTTAATAAAAATATGTGTTATTTTTTCAATTTTTACCGTTTTAATACATTGACTGCCATAGTGGTCATCAGTGTACGACGATCCTAACTTTTTAAATTTATATTTCTTTTATTCTAATAAATTTTTGAATATTTGAGCAACGATTGAATAAATACTATTACTATTTCTTATTATTTACTACTGGACAATTATTAAATAAATACTATTATAAGTACTATTTAATAAATTACAACTATTAAATAAATTTTCTCCATTTCTCCATTTTCTTGTTATATTGTTTGATAATTCATTATATCCTAAGAATAATGGAAATTTTATCATGGTCCCCAGAGTGTACTATACAAAATATGCATGGCAGTCAAAGTGCTAACAAAAATACTTCATGTTATTATTTTTCTAACAAATATACAAAATTTTTGTTCATCTAATAAATATCACAAATTTTTGCTATCTTTTACCATTTCAACGGAAATAATTCATATTTTTATCATTTTAATGCAAATATTTATCACTTTTATTACATTCACTGTTTTAAAAATCTTCGGTATCTTTCGAATTATGTTACATCAAAGATTCAAAGGAACGAAAATAAATGTTCCGTTCAAAAATATCTCTCACGAGACACAAAATAGTCTGCTTTCAAAGAGAGATACGTAGAAAAGAGCAAAAGATTAATGTCGCTGAAAGATTTATTTTTCAATTAATATAGGTCTCGCAGTTTTATTACGAGAAGAGAAATGTTTGTTTGCCGTTAAAGGGAAGAGAAATGATTGAGATTGAAAAATTTCGGTTACAGATTGGTTCCTTCTTCATGATTAATCTCTGCTTAGTCGTAATAGCAACGCAGTTCTCAGAGACGAAAAAGCGGGAGATGGAAAGAATGCGACTGGAACGTGCACGTTTTCATTCTACATCAACGCTTGCATCGTCGACAAATACTTCAGAGCCAACTACATGTTACGCGGAAATTGTTAAGTGAGTATTTAAGGAACTTTGCTGGAAAAGCGTATTAACTCTGTTCCACCGTTTCGTTGCTTCCAAAAGACGGGAATTTGAAGCTGAAGTAGTCCAATTGTCCTAACGACATGGTCGACTATATAAAATATTATAAATATAGCATTGCGAAATTTAACAGAAATTTAACAAAAATTTATGTATTAATTTTCCAAACCTCGTTTACTCCCTTCGCACTCGAGAGGCGACCTTCAATCACCGTTTAACCCTTTGTGTTCGACGATATTTTGGCTAAAGAAGGGTGCGAGTTGAAAAATTTTCTGCTATAAGGCTGATGATATTTTTTGAGCAGTGAATAAGAAATCGTAGAATAATTAACACGTAGAATTATTTCATTTCGATACCTCGCACAATGTTACATTATTTTAAATTTGATATGTTAATTAACATCGAACTTCGAAATTTTATTAAATGGCGACTGAAGGGCACCCCTCGTGTGTAAAGGGTTAATAAAATTTTGAGGATCGATATTAATTAGCATATTAAATTTAAAATAGCGTAATAGTGTGTGAGGTATTGAAATTAAATAATTTGACGTGTTAATTGTTATACGATTTTTTATTTACTATTTTAAAAGATATTATCGACTTTATGCCAGAATATTTTTGAATTTTTACTCCTCTGCAGCGAAAAATCGTCGAGTACAGAGAGCTAATATGATTTTTATTGTATTTCACATTTCCCTTACGTCAGTAAAATTTCGCTTTTGAGAAAATATCATATTTTATTAAGTTGATAAACAAAATGGTTTATTTGAAATTAATATTAAAATTCTGGGAATTTCATGTTAATTAAAATATTTATTAAAATTTTTATTTTCTTGGTTTTGAACATGCTTTTAACAAATATTATCGTTGAATTTGCTTTCTTGTTGTATTTTTAATAACATTTTTTGGTAATTTTATAACGGATAATTTATTGTTTATTAGATTTTGGATACAAAGTGTGTCCCAAAATTCACATGAGAAGTAATTTTGATAGAAAACACAAGTTTTTAATTAAAAATTGTAAATATTAGTCAACAGTGAAGACGCGTTGTTCTTTCGCGTAGAGCTCCATTTTTAATAACCCTAAACTGTCATTTGTCACGTCATCTTTTCTTTTTTTTGTTGAAAAGTTTACCGCAAAAATGACGCAAAATTCAAATCTTGCGTGAATTTTGGGACACCCTTTACTATATTATGGGGATGTAAATAATGCATAACCAATGATACATAATCTTCAAAGCCCAAAATGATAAAAATTATTGTTTTATTTCAAATTGAATATATAGGGAATTAAAATTAAATTACAAAGAGAGAAATAGTAATTTTAGGTGATTGCAAAGAGAACTCGTTTTCGTAGGACATACGAATAAAATTTTGTCAAACTTACATTTCCCGCACGTTATCATATTATATTTCATATTACAATTTAGAGATACGGATATAATTATGACATTTTATATCCAAAGAGTTTCATCAGAAATATTAGAAGTCATTAACCATCAAAGTTTGAAACTAGGAGCACGAAAATAACGAGGAAAAGAGCGAAACCGATTAAAACGGCTGAATTTAAAATTCCAATCTAAAAAATAAATAAAAAAAATTAAAAAATATAAAAAATAATTAAAAGAAATTTCATTAATCCACCAAAATAAATAAATAAGTAAATAAAAATCCATTAAAATAATACTGTTTAATACGAATTTTAATCTGTAATATCCATTGGGTAATTCTTGTAAAGTTTATATTCCGGAACACGAATCCGTAATCGAAATTGTTCAGTCACCCTCAGATTTCGAAAATTGCAGGTTTTTTTTCGAAACGTACGATTTTTGGCTAAAATGAAGTATTACTATGCGTGGCTGAAAAGAAGTCATCTGAGAAACTTGTGGGACCGAATCCCCACCAACCCAACCATTCTAACGTCACGGCAGAAGTAGAGTAAAGCGCTTCCCTTATTGGCAGAACTGATCCCCTCCTATTAGCCCGGTCATAGAACACCGTGTGACAAAGAAAGCGAACGAAGCAACGAGACAAAGTGAGACAGACGCAACAAATAGACGCAACAGCGTAGACTCGTCCCAAAAGCATATTAACTTCAGATTCTTCCGACAAACACATGATTATTTGCAATTACTAATTACTAATTAGCATCTTGATTAACTTTTCATTGCATTATGCAGCAAACGTGCTGTACTATACACACATTTTTTATATTTATGTTGTATCGTGTGATTTTTTAAACGGTTATCTAGTACGATGCAATTACATAATTAATTTATCACAAAAAATACATCTTAAATTTTAAATCAATTTTCATAAATGATGTTAATTATTATTACTTTTGTACTTCTTTACTTTATAAATCTTTGAGCTATTGTCAATGCCTGGCGTAGTAGTGCTTCCAATTCATTGTAAGTTAACTCTGAGACAACGTTTCTTTCACGGATATCTTACGCCTATGTTAACGTATCACGTTACCGAACTTGGAGATAGTAGTTTTGGGAGTGTCATAGAAGAGTGGGTATTACTAACGAAAGTGTAGGTGGTACTAGTGGAATACCCCTCTGATGACTTCTTTTCAGCCTCCCATAGTACTTATGTGCATCAGCAAAGTTAAGCGCGCCATTTCGACAGTCAGTGATAGCACCGCCAGTTCTCCATAGCTCTCGAAATGCACTGCGATTTTTCGACATAAAATCTGAAGAGCGTGATCGCGCTACTTGTGAATCAAAGGGTTGATAAAACTTCAAAGACCGATGCTGTCATATCCTACCTCTCTGGGTCTCGCTACGGCCTGCCGATAATCTTCGTCACCGTTTTCAATCAATAGCGATCACTACTTGTGATCGAGGGACTGTCAGCGGAGTCAGCCAGCCGTTAGGATGTATACACCCTGTACCATCTTTTCCCGAACGCATAGTACTATGCGTTGTGGACATGAAGTCCGCTGTTTTGGCACAGGGGGCACTTGCTCCGCCTACATGCCCTCTCGTAGTTCCCCCACTCCTCCATAACACTACGTGTTATATTCATATATAATCCGTAACTAATATGTTGCGTCCGGAACACTGCAACTCGCTCGGGGAGTTTCATGGGGTTGTAAGGCCCGCTTACGTTGCTGCGGCAATGTTGCTGGGATGCGGCCTATTCTAACTTGATAGAGCTAGGCCTGGTTATGGTTCAACTGTAGAGAGTTCTATAATTTAAATATAAATATAAAAATATAATAATTTATAAATTTTATTTTTGCTTTTACAATATAAATTTTTGCAATGCATTTATATTAAGTATTTTTATTCTTTATACAATTTGTTACTAACAATTTCAATTTGTTGTTTGATAATTTAATATTTTATACTTGTTTTGTAAAGTAAAACTGCAAGATTCTTCCTCATCTTAAAAGTTTGGTGGTAGTTTATTTTTTAACAATTTTATATCAAAAAGCCATTCATATATGAGCCGTTCACTGCAAAAATCGATTAACTCCACTTTTTGAAAAATCTTAAATTTAAGCGTCAAAGCACTTGGTATAGTCATAACTTTTTATATTTATAATAACTTTCCCTGGTAATTAAGATTAACACCGTTAAACGACAAAAATTTTTTGGCCACTGAATAATAAATAATTTATTTCAGAGGTCACTTTGATTAACTCCGTACTCTAATGTAAATCGTTGCAATAATGCAACTCAAATGCACTAGCAAGCCATGAATGATAACGGTGAATTTTTTAGTCCCGTCTTATCAGAATTTAAGTAAAATTTAGTAAAATTTAAATTTATTATTTTTCTCACTTGCCAAATCGATTAACTCTTCCAGTAACATAAAAATGGTGACATTACCAACGATTACCTTTTGGCTATTTTTTCTTATAAATTTTATATACCGTTAGATGGAAGTTACATTTGTATTTATGCATTCTACGATATTTATTTCGATTTAAATTATAAAGGGAATTTTAAAAGACAATATACATTATTTCATTGCATTTCTCCACTTTTTGTTTTATGGAGTTAATCAATTTGCGCAGGGAACGACTCACATGTGTATCGAATAACGAACCTGTTTCGAATGACAAACGATTCAGAGAAATTTCTTATAATTATACAATTAGTATAAAAGTGTACACGAGAACACATATTTGCGATATATTGTATATAAAATATGAAATCTACTGGACGATGATTTTGGTGTCGATTACGCATGACTGCGGTTTTGACGAAGCTAGAATAGCGAACAATGGTTGCGTGGCGACAAAATCCCGCTTATGGGTTCTCGATATATATTTTACCGTCCTGTCAATATTGAACATCATCCTAATGCTGTTTCTGGGTGGTTTCTTCTTCAGAAAAGCTTACAGGTTACGTTACTGCGGAGCAAATTCGTGTTAGATTAGGAATTTTTCTTAAAAATGCAAGGATATACGTAGAAAAATACGATCGAAGGCTTATTTTTAAACTTTTATGACCAATTATAGTTATTCAGATGCACAAATAATTATAATTATGGACATTAATAAACTGGGGATACTCTAAGTTAACTTTTAAGACAACAATGAACGTCCTAACTTTTTCACTTTTTACGTAATACTATAAGAATCACCCAATGGATATTACAGATTAGAGAAAATGTTGAAATTTGTTGGACAGTGTAATCGAGGCATAGAAGTTTATTTAAATATCGATTGCTATGTAAATTATTTTTGCTAATAAATTTAATAAATTATAACAAAAACCAGGAGAAATACAAAAAGAAATATTGAAAAGTGAAATTCATTATTTCCAAAAATATTAAATACGAGATATTTCTAAAAATTGAATTTTTGTTCTACATCCATTATTTATTGCAATTTCTACTTAATATTATATTTATTACTTATATTTAATTTCATTTTGATGATCAAATTCGATTAAAATCAAAAGTACTTTTTTAATATTAACTGTAAAAGTTAAACGAAAAATACGCCTAACAGCA